TCCTGGACCTTTTCGATGGCTTCCCCGCGACCGTCGACGATTGACTCCTTGCCCTCCTCGGAGCTGAGGAACTTCGTCTTCTTCACATTCAGCCGGAGTCCATTCTTCGCCAATACCCTCTGCTAATTCTGGAGTTTCTCCTGGAATTCTTCTTTCCTCTCCGCTATCAGAGCGATGTCATCAGCGTAGATGATGGTCTTCAGTGGTCCATCCATGAGTTCTTCTTTGATGACGTCTATCGTGAGCAGGAAGAGGAACGGGCTGAGAGCTGGTCCCTGGTGTACCCCAACCGTGATATCTATTGCTCCGGTATGGCCGTGTGGGGTGCGTATTGTTGTGGTGATGCCATCGTACATGTCCTTCACCAGAGAGATCAGGTGTCTGAAACCTTTCGTTTCCGATGCGCTTTCCAGAGGATTTGTCGCGGGAGACGGTCGAAAGCCTTATCCAGATCGGGGAAGGCTAGGTAGCAGGGCCTACGCTTCTCTCGATACTTCTCCATAAATTGTCTAGCTATGGAGATGGCGTCCGTTTTAGACCTTTCAGGCATGAAGTCGAACTGTTCCTGTGAGATTGGGACCAATTCTCTCAATCTTGAGTCGACCAGCCGCTCGTACAGTTTCATCGTTTGAACAGTCAGTCTGATCCCCCTGTAGTTGGAGCACTCCATCGTGTCCCCCTTCTGCTTGAAGATGGGAACGATAGTACTCCCCCTCCACGCATCTGGGATTCTTCCTTTAGCGGTGACATTGCTCAGTTACCGGGTGAGCCTCTTTATCCCGTGCTCTCCGAGCGCCTTCCATGCCTCGATTGGTACTCCATCCGGGCCAGTTGCCTTCCCAACCTTCATCTTTCCCATTGCTCTACGCACCTCATTCTCTGTCCAGAGATTGATGGGGCCAGCCGTTGCCTCTAATTGGAAGCTGTTCTTACGGGCGAATTCTTCGTTGAGGAGTCCGTCGGAGTGTTCCTTTCACCTACGCCTGACCTCGCTAGTCTTCCTCAGGACTGCACCCTCGCTGCTCCTGACGCACTTCACTACGCCGATGTCCTGAGTGGCGCGGTGACGCGCTTTCGCCAGGCGGAAGACGAACTTCTCTCCCTCTCGACTGTCGAGTTTCTCATACAAGGCGTCCATTTCCGTGTTCTTGACCTTCGCGACAGCAGCCTTGACGAGCCAGCCTCTTGGAAGGCGAGCAGCCTCTTGGAAATTTTGTGGGCAGCTAGGTCCTTTGGAGCTCGTGTCTTTTGCCAGCGCTTGTAAGCCGATTTCTTCTGCCTCACAACTCGTTGGACTTTATCACTCCAAAACCATGCCTCCTTGTCCCCTCGGAAACCACCTCGAGTTTCCCCCAGCGTTTCCTTTGCACATCGCAGGATGACCTTCACAGCGTTGCTCCAAGTCTGCTGGATACCCTTCGGGATTTGGAAGTCCACCTTCTACTACCTTCTCTTCAGGGCGTTCTCTTTTGAACTGGCGCATTTTCCAAAACTGGATCCTCCGTTCCGTTCTTGTCCTTGATTTCTTAGGAAGATTGATGGCTATGTCTGCTAGAAGAGGTCTGTGCTGTGAAGCCAGATCTTCTTCGGGCAGTACCTTGATGTCCTTTACAGTCTCAAGGGACGATATTCTTACTAGACATGATCTATTTCCGTTTCTTTTCCTCCACTGCTGTAGGCTACCTTTTGCGACTTCCTTCTCGCGAAGAAGGTGCTGCATACTGCAAAGTCGTGGGCTATGGCCAGGGCAAGGACCCTCTCTCCTTCTTCGTTTCTGACTCCTACACCTCTTCCTCCATGGACCCTTTCCAGTCCCCTCCTTTCACTACCGACGTGCCCATTCGGATCACCTGCTATGGTGAGGTAGTCCCCCTCCGAAACCGAACGGATGGCCTCGTCAAGGCTCAGATAGAACACATCCTTTTCGTAGACGAGGCAGCCGACTTGAGATGCGTACACTGCTATTATTGTTCATCGTGTCTATACTCACCGCCATGATTCAACTGCTAACCTTGTTGACGGCGGAGACAGAGCCTTTTAGGGACTCTGCCACTGCTATAGCCACACCATTTCGTTTGGTGTTTCCTCCGTTGTATAAGAGTTTGACACCCTCTCTAATTTCTCTGGCCTCTGCTCTCTTCCAGCGGGTCTCCTGAAGGCATAGGACTTGGATGTTCCTGCGCTTCATAAGGTGAGCGTCCTCCCGGGACTTCCCAGTAAGCGACCCCACATTTAGAGTCCGTATTCGAACTAACTTCTTTGGCCGAGGTCGTTCACTCCTCGGTAGCCCTCGCATACTGTACATAGAACTCAGGCGGGGGTCCTGTGCCCCACTTCCGGGTGATGTTCCAGCTTTATCCCTGATACTCTTTGAGACTTTAGACATATTTGTCGTGACTGGTTTCTCCATCAGCCGGCCTGTCAACCTGGGCCTGACGCTGGTACCGATACCATTTTTGCATTTTTGCAAGGCATGGAGTTGCCTCGGCAGGGATTGAACTCGCACTCCCTCTAAGTGCAGACGTGAGCCTACACCCTTATTCACTCGGCTATCCCTGCCTCGCTTTTCTTCTGAAATTAGTGCGTCTAAATATGAAGGCGGCCGGGCTCTTCTATTTTTCGTGTTACAGTTCGCCCCCGCCTGAACCCCTTTTATATTTGGACGTTACAGTTGGCTGGTACATCAGTAATTCAAATTATGCACAGTTGCTTCAGTCTTGCACCGGTGAAGAGGGCGTAATGGGTTTGGAAGGTTTGTTTCTGACGTGAACTAATTCGATTACAGCGCAATGTGGAAAGAAGTTCGGTATATAAGCTCTTTTCTACGTTGTTGTAAGCCATACATTCAAGGCTAAAACTTATTTCAAGTATTTTAATGAGTCATGGAAATCAGCATGAGAAAGTGAACTGTATAAAGCTTGTGTAGACTATCTACAGTTCCTAATATTTTGCCGTTGATGTATTGATGTACATGTACGTACCCATTTCTACTAAAGTTGTGTTGTTTGAAATGGTGCAGGTCAACAGGTATTGAACATCATACC